GTTTGAGGTAACGTACATATCATCGTCATGTCAGAGTCACGTTATTGTAAGTCCAATGGTTTGCAGGATAGAGAACTTTTAATTTTTGACGGTTATTCGAAAGTCACTTTTTCAAAGGCATGTATCTCCCGATCTGTAGGAAACTGAGAGACAAAACTGATGTCCGTTTGAGGTAACGTACATATCATCGTCATGTCAGAGTCACGTCATTGTAAGTCCAATGGTTTGCAGGTTAGAGAACTTTTAATTTTTCAAGGGTATTCGAAACTCAATTTTTCAAAGTCATATATCTCCCGATCTGCAGGAAATTGAATGACACAACTCAATGTCAGTTTGAGGTACCGACCATATCATCGTCATGTCAAAGTCACGTCAATGTAAGTCCAATGGTTTGCAGGATAGAGAACCTTTAATTTTTGAAGGTTATTCGAAAGTCACTTTTTCAAAGGCATGTATCTCCCGATCTGTAGGATACTGAGAGACAAAACTCATGTCAGTTTGAGGAAACATACATGTCATCGTCATGTCAAAGTCACGTCAATGTAAGTCCAAGGGTTTGCACAATAGAGAACTTAAACTTAACTGTAAAGCAATATGTGAATTTCTGTGAACTCAAACAAGATATTTTGGATTATGGTTGGGTGAGAGCTTGAAGTCTCACAAAATATTATTTTTATGTTTACAGACTATTCATCTGTGTTCTCCCAATCATTAACCCAGATAATCAAGAGTTTACTGTACAACATATTAATATTATATTCATGATATTCATTTCTATCTTAAAGTTACACTGAAATGCTAATAATCAATTGCAGAAGTTACATGGCAAATGTTAGGTTAGTACTGTAAAAATGTGATAAAATCTCATTTCCTGAACACTAGCTGGTAGCACGAGCATTACAAGCCATTAGGTTAAATATATCTATGTGGCAGTGAAGGTATTAATAAATGAAGCTGTATAGCATTCCTTCATCATTTAGGCTCTGTGCAGCCTTGATGATATCAGGATAAGAACCCTGCATCTGAGCTACCAGTTGATGTGGCAAATGCTAAATGTGAGGCACGCCTCAAAACATCTGAAATTGCATGGAGGCAACATAATATCACAGTGTGCAGCTGTATCTTATAGAATGGCTCAACAATATTTGTTCACAGCTGCTCCACAGCAGACAGCAAGCACTAAAAGTAACATGATACATACTAAAATATATGTTGTATTACCATCAAAATGGATTATATCAAATAATGAAATTGCACTGTTCTGTTAGTATCTACAGTTAAAGTTCCCAACAATAAGTCTTGAGTTAATAGGCACTGTACCCAAATTCATTAATTTTAAAACTACTCAAATCGCAAATAGCATCAACCTTACTTTACAATTGCAATACTTTTATTTATTAATTAATTTTTTTCAAACTAATTCTGCTGTACACAGTGTCAACACAAGGAATAAAAATCAGCTTCATAGACCAGTTACCAACCTCTCATGCTTTCAGAAGAGTGCATATTATGCAGGAATCAAAATTTTCAATAGTCTACCATCAAGTCTCACAAGTCTTGTAAATAAGGAGCAATTTAATGTAGCATTAAAAAGATACTTAATTACACACTCCTTTTACTCTTTCAATGAATTTATGTTGTTTACAAATAAGTGATAAATTTTTCTTGTGTGTAATGGGTAGATCTATTTGTAGTTTATCATTTCTTTAGGTGAATACTTTGTTTTGTATTATGTGAAATTTATATAGTAGTATGAATTGTACTTTATAATATGTATTGTACTATTATTATTATGACTTTTTCCACATCCTATTGTCATCTGACTGTCTTATGGATCCATGGAATGTAAATAAATTATTATTATAAAATTGCATCCCCCCCTCTAATACACCAAATCTGATGTACTTACAGAAACACGGCTACTGCAGTGGGTCTCTATGAGAAACATGATGTCAGCTGTGGAATCCAGTCAAACAATCAACAGTATACTGTATTTGATTGTATTTGCACTACCAAACCCCGTTCTAACCTCTTTTTATCACTTTTTTATAACTTTCACTACCACAATTGTCCTCACCGCTCGTATAGTCGTTAAAGATAGCACAACTTCGGCATCAAATTTCATCCAAATCTGTCTTATGGTTCTCAAGTTCAATCGACTCGACAGACGGACGTACAGGCATTACCAGACCATAACAATGAATAAGACCTACCGTAACTGGAAGTTCAGAGAAATATTATCATGTGTTTGAACAGAAAAACAGCATGGAAGTTTTGCACATCAACTGTCACCAGCAGACAACGCTGAGTACCAACACGTGAAACTTTACCCTTTGGTAATTAAATTTCTCCCAGTCCCGATAGGTTTCACCACCGCGCAGTCTTCAAGCAGTTGTGGTCTGGGATGTACTGTGACATGGAATTATTTACAAAGGAGACTTCTTCAAAACCCTGTTGCAGGTAAGATTGTTGCAGATAAAATATTGTACGAAACAGCTTGCCAAATTTAGACTATCGACATTGTGTCTGTATTAGTACATAGTATTGGCTTTAACCATTGCCCTTTTGGAGTCTGGGTTACTTCTCAATAGTTCCCGTACATTATACAGGCCCGTATGATTTAAATTGTATTGAAAACCGCACGTAAGAAACATTGTTGTTTTTATTGTTTGTCATGCCAGAAGGACGTATCGACCTACTTTCTAATCAGAGGTATTTGGTCTAACAGCATGGACACCATAGTCATCCTCGTCATTTGCATGACAGGTCTTGTGCTAATAGGTTTTGCTTCGCAGAAATTTCCCCAAAGGCGCCAAATACCCTTGCGCTTGACCTGAATGGGATGGATTAGGATTAGAATTAGAATTGAAAGATAGTTTTCTTCTGGATTTTAACGCCATGTAGTCAAGTAGAAGTTTATCAACGTTTCAGAGGTTCTTGGTGCCTCCTTCATGAGGGCCATCACTCTTCATCATTCATGACTATTTGTGCCAAACTGAAATCATTGTCTGACTCACTACTTTGCTGTTTTAACTAAACTAAGTAATATCTCGATGAATGATCATTGGTGTTCCACCGAACTGACTTTCTGGAAGCCCAACTGAATTAACATTCTGGAAGCCTGGTGCATTATGTTAAATTAAATTCATCTCCACTTCCAAGGTGCCAAATGACCTCTATGTCCCTTTGTGAGACTATACTCTGATCATTTACAGAAATTAGTGTCATCCTCATTGGCTGTTGTAATGTATTATGTCAGTAATTTTCAAGGGTTTGCACAAATGACTGGGGGTTGATGAGGGGGCAGGTATGTCAAATTCCAGCATGTTTTCTGCTCAAAATATTTTCTTGCCAGTAATGAAACTAAAAGCAACCATGAAATTCATCAAATCATTATCACTGAAAATTGAAGGTTTATCTGTGAGAAATAATGCATAAAATTTCTTATGGATTACTATTATTTTCTAACATTCTATGGAGTTATCTAGGAAAATACATTCTGTCATATGCAACAATATAATTATTTTAAAATTTATTAATATTTTAGATATTATGGAATATGCTTTGGCTTGCTGTTGGGTCATCTTCAGGTTCCTCTCAAATATTATTAGAGGATATTAAAACTGTTTTTGTTGTAGCAAAATTAGGAAGATGTTATCAGTATGTGACAATCTGTGAAGTTATAAAATACATTGAAGTTCAGTTTGGTATTTTCTGCATAGCTTGGTGTTATATGTTTTTTTTAACACCTCAACACTTTATACTTGTTTAGTATGGCTAATATCGTATTCTAGCATCCTGTGAATTTCTGACTTCTGAAATATTCCGTATGTGTACTGAGTTTCAGATCTTATTTTCTTTTGAAGGGTCTGAAAAGTAGAAGACAGAAGAATGTGGAAGGAAGTTGTTTCTTATTAATCTTTGGGAACTAAGCTGTGAGGATGTAAATTGAATTGATCTGACTTAGGGTTGTGTTCAATAATAGACCATATTAATGGTATAGAAGTTCTATATAACCAAAGAGGTAGTTAAAAGTATGCATTGCTAACTTACTAACAAACTAAATGGCTTATGGAACCCGAAGGTTTATCACCGAGTTAACCAAGCCCTCCACCGGACCCTGTCCTGGACCAACAACATGTAGTCTCCTTCAACTCCTATCTCCCGTACATCCTGCTTGATATTATCCTTCCATCTACGTCTAGGTCTCCCCAGCAGTCTCTTCCCTTCAGGTTTCCCAACCAATACCCGGTGCACACCTCTTTCCCCATCCATGCACGCTACATGCCCCGCCCATCTCATTATTGACTGAATCACCCTGACAATAGTACAAATTTTTAATCTCATCATTATGTAGTTTTCTCAATACCCCATTCTCTTCTTTCCTAGACTTGAATACCCTCTTCAAAACCCTATCGTCGAACACCTGCAAACTGTGTTCCTCCCTCAGAGTGAGAGACCATGTTTTGCACCCATATAGGCAAAATTATTATTTTGTATATTTTAATCTTTAGTTTCAATTGAATTTTGTATGAGGTTGATCGTAGAGAATTCCTCAGTAATTACCTCACTCAGTTTTGTCCCCCTTCTTATGAATAGGAATAATTATGAATTCCTTCCATTCTTGTGACATCACTTCCTTATCTCAAATTAACTAAATAAGCTTATGGATCTTCATATGCAACTTTTTGCCACCTGCTTTAATTAATTCTGCTGGAATTTGATCAATACCTGGAAATTTATAACTTTTCAACTTTCCAATGGCTAGTTCCACTTCATCTAAACTAGGTTCTGGCACTAACAGTTCAGCCATATGTATTTTAATCTAACAGCATCAGTCCCATGAACATTTAACAGTTGGTTAAAGAAATTTTTCCACATATTCAACATTTTGATTGGATCTGCAAGTAAGTTGCCATTATCATCCTTTACCAAATTAGTCTGAGGTTGATATCCTTTCTTAAAATCAGATCTCTGATATTTTTGTCCTTACTATTTGTTTCAAGCTCAATAATTTTGCCTTTTCTTATTCCTAAAGGTTTTACTAGCTTCATGTCTCATGTTATATAGATTATCCATATTTGTTTTGTTTGGGTCCTTCAACCATTGGAATTTAGTTTACTTCCTTCAATCTATTAATTTTGAGCATTCTTCATCAAACCATGGTTTATTTTGTTTTTTCCTGTAGTATCCTAGTTTCTCTTTGGCTGGTATTTTGATACAGTTTCTGATATTGTTATCTACACTGTCATCATCTTTATGTCTCTAAAATTTGAAATTTATTCGAAATTTCAACTTGATATGCTCCTTTACCTCTCTCTCATTTAATTTCTTCAAATCAAATTTTTCTGTGGTGAAATTTTGCTTAGCCTCACATACTGAAAGCCACTCCCTCACTTTCACCACTACCAGATAATGGCCAGTGTCATAATCTGCTCCTCTGAATGACCTCACATCAGTTATGCTTGTCAATCATGGGAAAAGATATTGCAGTACCATCTGTTAAGTATAGACCACACTAGGTTCCCCTCATAAACACAACACACAGAGACTGATAAGGGTTAATATTCCATATTATATAATGTGTATAAATCTCTTCGGGGCTCTCTATATGGGCTGTGGCACATAGGGTATATTCAGTTTGCCACAGGACATCCATATTTCTCTGCCTTTATTATAAATTTCTTGTACAAGACACACAATAATTTGATAAAATTACAAAGTGCAGAATGGCAAAAAAAAATGACAAATCACCTTTACTTAACAAAAGTTAAACATACAAAACTTCAAAATAAATCTTAACACCATTGACAACAGCAATGTTACATATGAAACATTTCCTGTGTACATATCATTAAATTCTGAACTCATTCCTTGTGCAATGTGGCATTCAAGTTTTGTGGCCGTACATTCCAGTGATACCAGACAGAAGACTCTGTGCGTTGCTTTCTTTGCCACTTCTGTGATTTGTTTCATATAAAAGATTTGAGGTTCTCACAGCAGTAAAGATGCCCACAGTGGTCTTCTGGATTTTGATGTTGTGTGGACTCGTAAGTTCGTTGAAGATGGAGGTAGTATGATCCTCCAATATGTTGGTACCCACCTACAAGTCTACAATTCAGAAGACCACCATGGACACATTCCATTAATATTGTTATGTTTATGAACAGAATATATTTAAATTACAGGGATACAAATTTGTAGCATTCAGTTGAACATAAAGAATCAGCTTTACAGATTAAACAAATATCACTTTATAACTCTTTTTACAGTGTCTGCCGAAATACTTCCTCAGTATCATGTGGATATGCACAAGTCACTGTATAATTACTGATTTATCCAACCACATTCCCATTGCTGTTTCATGACAAATCCACCTACAGCTGAAATAACACACTAACTAATTTATTTTACACACAGGCAATATATGAATTAAATTGTTATGGAAGAAGGGTATTTCTCAGAAATGTACTATTTCTTATGTTGTGTTTCAGTCATTAGATAGCCAAAGTGATACATCTAACACTCATCTTGAAGCCTATATGTCATCACAAATATTTTAAACATTTATCATTGCATCTGTTTTTCCAAAATAAATAATACATCGTAAAATGATGTCATCATCGTCATTGGTTTTAGTTAATTCAGACATCCATTAAACCACATGAGTATATGGCAACAGTGTTGACCCATACATATCTCTGGTATAATGCGTAAACTGTTAAACTGGCTGCCCTATAAAAAGAACAGTCCAAACAAATGAAGGTACTACACATTGTGCATTTAAATAACTATATAATTTTAAGTCTCTAGTTTCTCTTTAAACGACTTTCTCTAAAAGTATAATTTTCAGTTGTCTGATTATAAATATGAAAGATTAAAATAATTGTATAATATTGTAATTTTTCTAAAATTACAGACTTTAAAAGTTATTACTGTAACCCTTTCACTGTCAGTAAAAAGTTTCTGTTACCCAGCACAGACCAGATATAATTTATACTTGCATTCAATATTTCATCCCTAAATGTAAAAATATGTTTTGTTTCTTAAAATATCACGTCAGACACATACACCTTGCCTTTAATTTGTTATGTTACTTTAAAATGTGATATTTCAGCACACTGTGCATAGATGAACAGTTCTGCCCATTAAGCTGCCCATCCACGTACGAGTGTGACTTGCGAGCTTGACTCGTGAGTCGGGCTCTGATATATTTCACCACACATGCATAGCAGACTCGGCTGACACCCCAGCCACAGACGAGTTTGGCTCAGTGGGAGCCGGACTTGCAAGCCAGACTCGTACGTGGATGGGCCGCTTTACAGTGAAAGAGTTAAAACACAAAAACTGAAACAATTCATGGCTAAAGTTTTCTGTAGTATAGAAAAAGTAGATTACTAACAACTTTATAAAGCCTTTGGAAAGATCCATAACATTATTGTTTACACAGAAATGAACAAAACCATGGAACAGTTTTTTAGCAAAGACAGACTCCTAACATGCACATTACAATCACACATGTAGTTAAGAGAAAATAAAATATAATAGTACAAACAGTTTTGTTATTAGGCTGTAGTGAAGTAAAGTTATTCCACACATGGGAAGTAAAACTATTAATGTATTCTTTTTTTGTTTGCAAAGTTTTTGACTTTCTCAGATATTAATTTGAAAATTGTGATCGTGTGGTCAGTTTTATATCTTTATGATGACAATGACTTAACACTGTTCTGGAATTGAACCAGTTGAGCTGGTGCGGCAGGCTGCGTTAAGCCTTTGTCACAGTCCAATGTGGCTGACACTTAGTGGCTGGTTTTTGTTGTGTATAACTCAAACATATATTAAGGGATGGCACAATCATACAGAGTATTTTTTTAACATGCTATATTTAATATCTTGGGAACATGGCATTATTAATACTTGAAAAAAATGCCCAACAAGTTTTACATAGCCTGTAGCACTAGGCTTGGCAACAAGAGTATTAAATCAGTAAAAGTTATAGCTATTTTTAAGGTAACAGTGAGTAACTGCCATGTTGATGTGCACAGCACGATATTAGTAAATAAAAGGGAAATTAATCTACAGTTATAACAAAGTATTACCTGTTAGATACAAAATGACATGCCCCTTAGTGCAGTTTGCGTTATTGAGTTGGTGCAAGCAGTGGTGTATATGATGGTGGATGGTTTTTGTGAATACAAAAAATATGTTTCAAAAAACCAACAACACTTTTTAAAAATATACACCTCATTTCCTCTCCAAAATAGATTACAATTTAAAGTGGTATGAGTTAGTAAAATTATAAAGAGCATTCAAAGGAGATTATCATGAAGCACAGGGTCAGATAGCACATTTACAGATAGAAATACTCTGACTGTGTTTATACACTAGTATATACTGGCAGGTGATGGATGACATCATCTTCTTCGAGTTGATTGCCAATTTGTTCCATCCTTTGACCACATGTTATGTAATGCATTTTCTCTGCTTTGCTATCTACATCTTCACATATCTGACTGCCCCAGACCTATAACATAGAATAGCTTTACATAGCAGCAGAATCATATAAATGTACCACAAATTAAAATGAAGTCAAAGTTTTTGACAAATTCCTTTCAGACTTACATTGTAAAAAAACTTTCTGAACGAATAGATCTAACACATTTTTCGTTGCATCAGAATGTCTATTCAGAATGAGAATCGGCCTTTAAATAGTTGCTGTCATAAGTCAATGTAAATCACAGATCATGTCAAGCAACAAAATGAATGTAGTGTAAAGAATCTGCATGCAGCGTTTTGAATAATTTTTTTTCAGTAATAGAAATGTGCATGGTATATCACAGCAAATTTGTAGCCAGCATAATAACTCTGCCAGAGATAAGATTAATTTCTCCAATGAAGGAAATTATGTTTTATGTTGCTCTAGGGGCTGTTGTCCACTTATCAGTAATCTGTAATTAACTTTTGAGTTTTCTATGGTGATCTCTGGATTTTGGAGTGCTTTTAAACCATTATTTAAATAATTCTGTTTATTTCATCACATGTAATAGTAAGGTCTGTTAGTATTAAAGAATTTCTTGATTTTGCAGTACTATTAGTAATGCTAATTCTTACATGCCATCATCAGAACCTTATAGAATTAAGAAGAGCTGTGTTTGAGTTATGAGCATTGTAGGAAACTGTTTATTTACTGTTTCAAATTTGATCTTAAATTCAGTCTTTTACAAAAGCATCGTACATTTCATAAAGGCAACTGTTTATATCTAAGCCATTTTAATAGAATTTTTGTATATTATATGAACTTAACCAAATACACTGATTTGTAATTTCTGTTAATCATCGAAATTCAAACTCACAGTGCTCAAGTAAATGCAGTAATGCCATGCATGAGGATAACACACAGCAACATGCTTTAAATACATCCAGTTTCTTCTTTAAAAAAATCTATAATATAAAATTCTTCTGTCTCCTTGTTTTCTTTTGACCTTTCTGTGTGAACTAAGTACAATTTAATGTATAAAATTAATCTGGTTCATAATTACAAGCCTTATCACCACGTGGAATCACAACAGTAATTAATACACCTAGAAAATTGTGATTTCAGACTTTCATTTTCAGAACTTAAATTGAATGATAAATGAGAATGCACTGAAGTCTTCTCAGACGAACAGCCATGTGAGTATGGAATTAATCTCCATTTCAGAGACTTCTGTCATAGTCATCAGGGACTGATCAATTAACTTGTCATCAGATCAGTAAAATCCCTGATGATGTAGGCATATACTGGCTCTGCAATGTTAGAAACAGCGTAATTCCGTATTCACATGGCTGATCTAATTGCATTTAGTCACCACTAAACTTTAAATCTTATATAAATTTCTAAATGTTTTATTGTTGCAATACACTAATTTTCATGTGTCATTTAAGAGGTTACATTAGCTTGTTATTTATACATTTCTTGTGAAATATGTTAAAGATGTACGTAGAAAATTAATCTAATTTATACGTACTTTAATACTTTCAGGCATTAAGTATGAGTTAATTAATGATGTGTCAAATTAGAAGAAGCAATTTCATGATTCAAGTACAGT